CAAAAATGAACCGAAACTCAGCGAATACATGCCTCACAGACATGATTAATATATCTATATAAAGCTTTAAATTACTACTTAACAAAATAAAACAAATCAAAAACAAAAACTCTTTCATTATAATCATAATCCGTAAAGATGCACTTCTCTCTAAAGGTGCGTTTGAGGAGATGGCGAGTCAGGATCGGCAACTTCATTCTTGCGACACCGACTCAGAAAACAGTAGTTTATTAGTAAATAACTCAAATATCTCCTTACTATTTCCCCCTGACACATTTATGGTAATTACTTTTGCCGGTGCTTTGCGGCAAACCTAAGCCTATTGCGTGCATTTGAACGCAGAACTCTTCAGCTGCGCTGACGGCACGCACCATACTGTTGCTGGCTGGACAATAAACACGTCGAGCCGCTAGAATGGTCTCGTGTTGTTTCCACCAGCGCGGCAATTTTTTTCATCACTTATTGATGGATGTCTAAAATATAAAAATAAGGTGAAGCATAAAACAGGCCCCAGGCCCGGCCCGCATCTGAACTATGACGTGAAAATTGGCCCGAAGCCCAGCCCGAGGGGGTAAAAAAGTCGGAGCCTGTCGGGCCCGGGCTGAAATGCAGGGCTCTAAAAAGAACAACAAAACCTAAAAGACATGTGATGAGCCTGGCAACAGCAGAGGAACCCCCGTATCCCTGAGCTCTGCCATGGTCTGTATTTATGGTATGAACAGATCTAATGAGCTTCCCACACACCTGAGAGTAGAGGCAGACACACACATGCAAGGCAGCTCCACACAATATTTACTAGGACAATAATAAAATACTCTGGTTTTGGAATGATTACCGTTTAACACATTAATACGCATGATTGCTAATTGCAGTGAAAGTTTATATTGAAGCTTGCCATGAAGTCAGATGACTCATCCAACCTAATATAAGCACATTCACTGACACTCGTACAGCCATGTGGGGTTTTGCATGGTCTTTATACTGGCCAGATATTTGCTTAGTGATGTGTGATAAACCTGAAGAGTGAAGTGTTATTGCCGTTGTGCTACATAAATTGTTATCTAAACTTTACAGCTTACTATCTCTCTTTTTACCTGCTTCTTACACGTCACACATTGCCATAAAATAAATGTTTTTGCCTCACCTGAAGTGATCATTTAACTTAAAATGTATTTTTAATATTACCTGCGTTATGATAATACTGTAACCTTAAGAAATATTTCAGCCTTTATAGTGCACTTAAATGTGAGAGAAATTTGGGGTTTCTGTGTGGACAGGAAATGGGTGTGTTTCATACAGGAAGGGTGTCAGCAACAATAATCAAGATGTGACATCCTTTATCATTCTAAAAATCCATCTATACATTACCATTCAAAAGTTTTTTTGTTTGTTTGTTTTTTGGAAAGAAAATAATACTTTTATTCAGTAACAATGCATTAAATTGATCAAAAGTGACAGCAAAGACTTTTATAATGTTACGCAAATTTCTGTTTCAAATAAATGCTGTTCTGTTCTTTTAGAACGTTCTATTCATTAAAGAATCATTTTCAACATTGATAATAAAAATAAATGTTTCTTGAGCAGCAAATCTTACTGACCCCAAACTTTCGAATGGTAGTGAATGATTTTAACAAGAGCAATTTTTTCTTTAAAATTTAGATTTGAATTCCATTTTAAATTAATATGGCTGTCAGTACCATATTATATATTGTAAAGTGCATGGTATTATCATCTGATACCATCGCGGCGTAATGGTCTTTCCACAATATTTGTTTTTTCAGGGACAGAACAAGTTTACACCCAAATCACCTAAAGGTCACATAAAATGACACAAAGTCACGTAGAAGTCTTGTTTTACGCGCCATGAGTGACTCCAGCATCGCTTTCTTTAGAAGCCTCTGGCTGTTTGTAGAGTGTGTTCAAGTGTGCGTTCTGTGTAATTGGATACACTCGTCTAGTATGAGACGTGCATGTGGGTGTTATTCCAGTACACTCCTTCATTAAACACAAGCACACATACTCTCTTTTTCTCTTTTCTTCCTTCACGGCCAGTCCAGTTTCCCTATAGCTGTGTATTTGAGTGTTTTGTCCCACACGTCTGAACTGTCAGATGCTGTTCGGAGGTGGTTGGGTCACATAGCACACAAAGCAGCGGTCGAGCGGTGAAGAGAAAGCGCGGCCTCTGCTCCGCCCCTCGTCTGCATTATTCAATAGGATTAGGACTTCACGCTGTGAATTTGCTGATAAGACCAACTGTAGTACTACTGAGCATAAAAGGATTTGCTCAAAGTGTGACTGTCAAAGGATGCTTGCTGTTGTTTTTCCCTTCTAAAGCTTATTGAATAGTAGCCTAAATACTGTCATGTTGACAGCTTTTCATCTGATTTTTTTATCACAGTTGTGCTTGTTAATTATTTTTATTCGTAAAAAGATCAAGTCAGAGCTGTTCAAGAGACATGTTGGAACTGTGTAGCTCACATTGTTAATGTAGGTTTATTTCTTGCTTGTAATTAATGTCAAAAATCTTTACTAAATCTGTCCACAAAAAATTCTAAATCTATACAAAAATGAATCATTCAAATAATGTATTCATTAATTTGACCTGAAACCTAAAACTTGAAAACTGTTCAAAAGTTTGGGGTCGGTAAGGGGATTTTGAAAGCAGTTTCTCAGGCTCATCAAGGCTGCATTTATTTGATTAAAAATACAGTAAAACCAGTAATATTGTTAAATGTTATTACAGTTTTGAAAAAAAAAATCTATTTAATATATTTCAAAATTTCATTTATTGATGGTAAATCTGAATTTTCTGCAGCCTCATATAATCATTTTCTTATGTTCATCTTCATAAACTTTCCTTATGATTATCAATGTTGTTTAAATGCGTAATATTTTTACATGCTTAATATTCTTAATATTAAAGAAACTTTTGATACAGTTTTTGTCAAAAAAATCTTTGATGAATAGAATGTTTAATAAAACAGCATTTATTTGAAATACAAATCCTTTGTAAGGATATAAAAGTCTTTACTTTCACTTTTTATCAATGTAATGCATTGTTGCGGAATAAATGGAAGAAAAAAAATCATACTGACCCCAAACTTTTGAATGGTAGCGTATCATTCTGATAAATGTAATGTGTACTTGTAGTATGTGTTTTGGTCTGTTAATCATAAAGGTATTTTTTAATTAATTGATTTTGTTTTTTGACAGGATGAGGAGGACTCATTTGTCATGAAGGCTATAATCCACGCAATCAACGACGACAATGTTCCAGGTCTAAAACACCTGCTTGGATCGCTGACCAGCTATGATATTAATCAACCTAACAAGGTAAGGAGACAAAGCAAGACTCATAGAGGTGATATGGGTATGGTAAAAAACAGAGAGAGTGACAGTCATGCTTATGGTCTCTGCTTGACTTGGTCTCTGTCCAAGTGATCAGTAGCCAATAGGCATGGGTCGATTACCGGTTTCAAGGTATACCGCTATTTGAAAATTTCACGGTTTCAAAACCACTAATATTTTCCGCTATACCGTCCCTGCAGTATGCACTGTTTTTCATGTCTCCTCAAAGACTGAAAATGTAGGAATCCCTCAGGTTGAGTGCAGTGTATAGTAACACGACCCTCCTCCTCCTGTTGGTGCGAGCGAGCAGTCAGTCACGTGTGTGTAGGATGGCCGAACTTAAGGAGCTTCCCCTGGAACTCACGCAATCAGCAACCGACTGTTTTTTGTCTTGTTGCAACTCGTCTCTGTTCTGGACTTGCACAAACTGCGTTGCAATGCAATCATTTTCCAAAATGTCGTTTATGTGAAAAAATGAAGTCTGTAAACGCCCATTAACACAGGCAAGAGACGTTGAAGACGGACGCACAGAGAAAAATA